ATTATCTGATACAGAATGAAAGAATGGAGAAGAGCCTTCGTCATCATCACCAAGATTGCCTTCAATTTTTCTTCGAGATTTTCCGATATTAAATTCATTGAGATTTCATTAGCTTTGATACACAAACCACTCTCTTTTTTAGAGATTCTATCTTTTTAGATTGAAATTTTGCCTTGGGCAAGTTTGGTTTAATAATTAGCAAGGTTATTAAAGTTAATACCAATAATTATGAATTCATAAAGTTTGGAAACGGCAATTAAATTTTATGAACCTAATAAAAAGAACTTATTGTGTTTTAAGGTTAGAAAATAATATTTGAAAGTAAATTGGAACTAGTTTCTAAAAAGTATGATAGATTTAAGTCAAGCCAAAGAACAAGAAATAACAATCAAAACTGCTTCAGCAAAAACTTAGTATCCCTAAAAGTATAAAGCATAACTTCTAAAATTGCTTTTCAATCAATTGAATTTGAAAGCTTGAATTTTTGCCACATTAAGCTTCATCCTTAAACAGAATCATTCTTATAAATTTTCATTATCTTATCAAACGACTTAAATTCAAAACTTTAAAGCAATTCAATCACAAAACCAAAGTTACACATCTTGTACATTCAAAGTTTAATAAATCCCACAGAAGATTTCTATAATATTTTATTATATCCTGCAGCTGTGTTACAATTGGTTATTAAACAACAATAGATAGACATTTATTATTTCCAATGAACAGACTTACTCTATCTAATGAGAGCATTGATAAATTATACTTGAAAAATTGAAAATCACGAAAAAGAACTGAAAGCTTCGCATAGACTTTTTGGAAGACAATCAATCATATTTCCTAGTAATGAGATGTAGAACAAAAAAATCAAAAAATCAACAGTGATGGAAACAAGTAGCATAGAATGAAATTTGATTAATTGAATTAAGGGAGAAGGGATTGTGTTTATTGGCATGGAGCCTCCAGATTTTATTTCATGGCTCAATTAGACTTGTAAAATCTCTTTTGTGTCTGCAATGTTCGAAAAGTTTTTAATTAATTAAGAAGCTTATTCCAAAGGGGTTTGTTGAACTTCCCGGAAAAAATATGATGATTTCATGCTGTTGATGTTTACAGTTGAAGAACTGTTGTAATGAGCTTATAGGGATTAAAAATTGCGATTGTTGATTGTTGTGAACGCTTTTGGGATTTGTGTCCATCGATTTCCATGGTTTTTGATTTATGACAATTCTGCAGGCTGCGTAATATCAGATATAGCTTGAAAATCCTGTTGAGGCACACACTTGTATGTTACAAAGTACTTCAAAAAGTTGTTTAATTAAAATCTAGTGTGCCATGAATTTCTGAAACGTTATCTAATCTTTTTGAGTATAAATCTGAAAATTTAACTTAAAATTGTGTATTTAAAATGACTGTCAATAGAAGAATCATCTTGTGTATGACTTCATGTTTCATTAAGTCTCAATCTTGAAGATTTTCCATTAAATTTCACAAATTTGTCATTTCTTTTAATTAATTCAATAAATCAACTTGAACAGTTTATTTTGCAGCAAGTAAAAGTCACAGATTACTTCAATGGATCAAAGCAAGAGCTTTAATATTGATTTAAACATTTTCGTCTACATCAACAATTTGTAAACTGAGATGAGAATCACTCAAGCAATGGTAAACTATGTCATATTTTACTACATAATCCTCACTTTCCATTCAACATTCTCGACAATGCTGAAGCACAGAGTATCAATCATAATTCACTGGGTAAGTATCATGAAAATAACCTCAGTCAAAATGTCACTTCAATTATTTTTAAGCATCCTCAGGTTTATCCGAAAATATCTCATGTAAAATTTGGAGAATCTACTTGTTCCTTAAAAATGCGTTTAGAAGAAGACAAAAAAAGATATTTCAAGAATTTCGAAGAGAAGAGGCTGAGGAAAAAGAAATCAGGTAAGCTTGAACTTTACGATGGCTTGTTTATATCCTTTGATATCACTTACATACACAAATGTCTTCCTCTTTTTTTGGGATCTAAGATTCAATATCTATGTGAGAAAATCCTATATTTTCCATTTTTGCTTTAAATTAAAGCTCTGAAAATCTAATTCCGTTTCATTATAAATTTTACCTTTCCATAAATCCACATTGAATAGAATTCATTGAATATCTCTAAACACAAAAGTGAAACCATATTTTCATGCATAAATCATGAATCACAATTTATTTCCGATTTTTCTTTTTGTTTAACAAATGTGAAAAGTTTTCCATTTTTGAATTTTTTTCTTATTTAAAAGGTGGGAAATTTTCAAGGTTAAATTATAAGATGTGTAGAAGAATTACCATTTAACATTTTGTGGATGTAAATTTCTACAGGAAGTCTGATGAAATCATAAATTCTCGTGTCAAGATTTTTGAAATATAGAGCATATGATTTTTAACGTTAGAGTTGTTGGGGCTAATTTATTGGCTGTTTCTGTAGTACGAGATGGCGCGATTGGTTCCAGTAAGTTCAATATTTTTGTAATGTTTGGGAATCTAATTAGTATTGTTTAAATTCTTAAGTCTTACTGACTAGATTACACTAAATGTAATGATTTTGAGAGATTGGCTACAATTAGGAATCGAACTTATGTCATTGTAAAGAAGAAGGTCTTTAGATTTCTGATCTGTTGTCTAAGCACTTATTCACAGTGGCCTTACTTTTGCTTTAATAGATTCGCTAATATAAATCCTAGCAGAAATATACTAGTAATTTCCTAGTAATTTACTAGATAACTTTCCATTTGCTACTTGCTATTTACTAGTCAAAATCCAAGTTCAAATCTTCGCCAAAGACCCGCATTTTCACTTGCTAATTGACTAGTCAATTTGCTTAAAATTTAACTAGTAATTTACAAACAAATTTGTAAAAAATTTAAATGAATATAACAGCTGATTTCCAAGTATTCTTTTCAGAGTTTGAAAATAAAATGAAAATTGCTCTATTTTGAAAATAAATCAAAATTAAAATTATGAAAATTGCCAATTTTGGTCAAAGCAATTTTGCAATTTTGTCAATTTCAGAAAATTGCAATTTTGGAAATTATCAATTTTTATTTTTGTGACGTCATAAATATTTGATGAATAATTTTGTATGAAAATTTTCTTCTTTTTAAATGAATTTTTTCTTCAGAAAAACAAAAGATACAGTTTATTTCCTGGATGTTGATATTCGTTTTTAACTTAATACTTGCTAATTCCTGCGTGTTTGATGCGTTGTTCCTTTAAGTTTATTTTAAATTAAAGGTACACATAATGCTCATAATCATAATTTTAAATTTCTGAAATTGACAATATTGCAAAATTGCTTTGATCAAAATTGGCAATTTTCATTTTGATTTATTTTCAAAATAGAGCAATTTTCATTTTATTTTCAAAATCTGATTCTTTTGATTTTTCTTATTTGTGTAAATTATTGTAAAAGTATTAGTGTGTACTTAATTAATAATCAAATACTTAATTTAATTAAGATTTTAAAATTTGGATCGAGGTTATAAAGGTGATTTCTGCGCTTTTTTTGATGATTTTTCTTAGGATTCGAACTTTAGCAGATTTGATCAAACATTTCACATGGTAATTTGCTAGTAATTTGCTATTAAATATCAAGTGTAATTTACTAATAGTAAGTTGTTTTAATAATTACTAGTAAATAGCAAGTAGTAGAATAGAAAGACTAGCAATTTGCTTGTTAGTCTCGCTAGGGAAAGCATTCAAGTGCTGATAATGTTTACAGCAACTAGTCGTGAACCAAAAATCACTCAACAAAGTGTCTAAAGATTAAACATCCCTACATCTAAATAAACTCTAAGACCATAAATTCTCTATTAATAAAGAAGTACATCCTCAAAATTCTCTAAAAGCACACTTCATTAACCTAGAAACCCACAAAAAAGGTCAAAATTGACTCATTTCTGGTATCAAAAAATAATAATTTTTCTGTTTCATAAACAAAAGGAGAAGAAAAAGATCAATGTAGACTGAAAAGCTTAGGATTATTACAAGTTGAAGAGTCCGGAGACTAGAAGGGATCCTTTCATAGATGACGTAAATGTGTCAGATTTATAAATGAATGTAATAATCTTCTTTTCCATTTTGTTGATCTAAATTCCTCAATTTGTGTATCTAAATTGTCTCGTATTCAGTCGAAGTCAGGCAAAGATGGCATTCCATCTACATTTTTATTAATGATACAAAAGATCTGCTTTTTGGAATTCATCCTCGAATTATTCTTACTCTACATAAACTTACCATACACGTAGATTCGATAAAAGCTTCCATTGTCAAATGTAATGCTGGATAGAAAAATGGTGATGCGGTGGGATAAGAAAGGTCAAAAATCTTTTATGAAAATCCTCTCTCTGTCTCACTCTCTCGACAAATGGCACAAAAATATAGATTTTTTTAAACTTCTTTCAACATTGAGGAATGAAATTGAATACTTCCGCATATCAAATTTACTTTTGTAATAAATTTAAATATAAATATCGAATGAGTATATAGGAATTAGGAATTACGTATCCGTGCATGAATTGCTCTCGAAGACAGATTCCGTTCCTTATTTTTCATATCATTACATTAAATGGGGATTGTAAAGCTCAATGAGAATGCCATCATAGTAAGAACATGCAGGATATAAAGCATACTAGAGATGTTGATGTGAGAAAATGATTTTTTTTTTCACTTTGAGTAATCATTGAGACTTACGATGACGAGAAGTATTTAATGATGTTGAGAAGAGTTTATGCTTGTCGGAGGGTGTTTATTGCTGGGATGCGATTAGTCTAAAGTTTATCTGTGTATCTGGAAAGAAAGTGGCAACCTTGTTACATGAAAAAGACCTAATCAATTATAAAAGTAGGCACATTTTTGAGATCTGAACCTCTCATCACTCTAGCACGTTCCTACACTACTAGATTGCTGATCAAATGAAAATCCAGCCTATATATCTAAAAAGCTGACTAATCACTTTAATTTATTGAAAAAATTAAAATTTTATTCTTAAAATTTTTTTTATTTACAATTAGGTGTATATAAAATATTTATGATATTTCCTGATTAAGTATTTAAGAAAAATTTAAATTAAAAAAATTTATTTTCATCTTTTCAATTAAGAATGTTTTTTGTTACCCTGAGAAAGATATTTTTGGTCACCTTGTTAGTTTCTTCTTATATTTTCAAAAATATAAAATTTGTTAATATTATTTGGAAAATTTCCGATTGCAAGCAATTCAACCTTATTCATTTGATGTAGAAGTAGATTCCAAACTCTTATCGCCATCAGATTTGCTGGACTTTTTCGCTTTCTCTGGCTTTTCTGGACAATCAGCAACCAGATGATCTTCCTTCTTACAATGATGGCATCGCTTTGGTAATGAACCTTGTGAACACTCGTTAGCTAAATGATTGGCAAATTCTCCACAATTATAGCATCGAACTTTTCGGAAGCGCTTTTTTGGCTTTGGCTTGAATGTCGATCCTTTACATTCGGATTCAGATGGTCCATTTACTCGTGTTGCTTCTAGTCCTTTATCGCTCTTTTTGCACTCGAATTCAACTGCTTCATTTTCTCCTAGTGATCGGAAGCCACCCATCTTTATGACACTCTAGGGAATGGTAATGAGAGTTTGGGTGATGTTAATTAAGATTTTTGGGAGGGCTTGTTTTGAAATTTTATAGATTGAGAATTGAACTGCTCTTTTGAAGGATTTTGAGCTATTTTTTTTTAAAGAGTTCAGAAGAATCATACTCAAAAGACGGTTATTAATGCTAGTTTCTTGAGTATGTTCTTGGTATATCCTGGAATGTGGCTTAAACTATGACTAAGATATTGATTGCTAGTCATGCTTTAAGCCCTACTCTAGCGCTAGTTTTTAATTTAAAGACTAGTTCCAGCTATAACATTAATTAGCAAGTCAAATCTAGAGCATCCCAAAGAACTTCTCAGATAGTAATTGGGACCACTCCTCAGAGTTTAGTCCTTCTAACCTAGAAAATCATTAAATTAAGACTCTTACCTGATGAACAAACACTTCCTGAGTTCCATCATCTGGCACAATGAATCCAAAGCCTTTAAGTACGTTAAACCATTTGCATTTTCCTCGTCTCATTCCGATAATTTCCTCATCTATCGGTAAGGTACTGTCTTTTGCTATAAAAATTAAATTCGGGAAAAAAGGAATCAAATTAATATCGACTTTCACTTTATTTGCGTCATAGTTTCATTTATTAAAAAACATTTTTAATCCCTTTCCCATGGCATTGAATCTTTACTGCATTACACGTGATATTTTTTAGAATGTAAAGAAATTCGTCTTTCCCTTTCTAAATTACTAAACAATGACGACAAAAGAAAGGTACGGAAAGGGTTTGAAAAATTCAACAAAAAAAAACATTTTTTCAGTCGCAATTCAACAAAAGGAATTAAATTTATTCTAGCCTCAAGTACGTACAGTGAAACCAGAAATACATGTGATAATTGGAAGGATTATTGAATAAACATAAATATTTATTTATGAATTTTTCGATTATGTAAATTTTTTGACCACTGAAAAGCATCATTAAGACCACCATTTTGTCATGCAATGCTTGTTCCTTGTTGACAAAATTCATAATTTTCTTTATTTTGGCGGCAAAAGAAATTGTCATGCGCAGATGACAATATCTAAAAATATATTTAAATTTAATCTACAAAAGAAAATAGATTCCAGCTCCTAATTAATGTCACTAAGTTCGTTGCCATAAGTCTTGTCTTGTATAAAAATCCATAAACGATCTGTTGAAAGAAACTCATTTAAAAATCATTTCTGTTTAGTAGGGAAATTAAATATAAAATTAGAGTGGAGTGGAATGAAAAGAAGAAGAAGCTGTGGTTGTAGAAATTTTTATGAATGAATTTGTTTTCTTCTTTTCGAATTTTTTTCATCGTCTTTTAACCCAGTCGAGAGTTTTTTTGGTTGATGGTTGGATAGAAAATTTGATTTTTGGTCGATTAAAGAATCTGATGAGGATAAGTCTGACCTCTCAGATCAGTGGGACTAGGATCAAATAGACTAAGGTTAGCAAAATATTCAACCATACTCCAAATTCAATATCTAGTTCCAAACTCAAAAACATTCAATCTTTAATAGATTACAAAATTCACAGTTCAACATGTTAGATTCCAACTCAATTTAAAGTGGAATTTCATCACTGGGGGAAATTCTTAAAATTCTCAAATTTTCTATTTATCAACGCGCTTATTAATAGTATTCATCTGTTCATTTCATTTTCATACAAATCTACATGCCTACATAATTAGATTGAAATGAGAAATCTACTGCACTGCGTTAATTTATTATTATCAAATAGGAACATTCTCATGTTTTAATGATGCATGGAAGCGATTAAGACGAGAGAACGGAAGTGCATGTTGACATTACAAATGTTGATTTTTCTTAGTAAATGAGATCGTCCAAGGTTTATGCATCGAAAAGTATCTGTTTATTTTTTACATCTTTTTTCTCATAAGAAAGTTCTTCTTGAAAGTCTGATAAGATGAGTGGAATGAGTTTCTGATCTAGAGAGGCTATCAATATGAAGAGGGTTTCATCAGAATATGATGAAAATTAGTTAAAGAGTTTGTAAATTTGTTGAATAAAGTTGATGATTAGGATTTTTGAGTATATTGTTATTTTAAAGAAAAATTGAAACTTTTTTATGAAATCTTGAACAGTATTGGCTGTAAAGCCAATCTATCAATGAAATGAAAGACAACATATTGTTTTAAAACCAAGAATTAGGCTTTAAATTGCAAAATAAATGTTTGAATTATGAAACAAGACTGAAAATCAAAGCAAATTAAAAGGGGCATGAAACTAACGAAAAGCCTGAAAAATTCAAAATTACTTTAACCGTTAGAAAATTCTCATTTTCCAGATATCGAATCTATTGCTAGTTTCTTGCACTTAAGACCTATTTTCTTATCAAAAAGAAGTCTAATCTTACAAATAAACAAATTTTCATATTCTTTGACAAATTCCCACAAAAATTCTTAACGTTTGAATATCTTTATAGCCTAATCATAACCAGCACAGTTAAAACAGCATTAACCAGTCAATTAAACACTGGGAATCTCGAATTAATTAATTAATTCAGTTAACCAAATCAACAGCATAGAGAATTCGAAAAAAAAATCAAAACATTCCAAAACTTCATAAATCCAATTTCTTTCCAATCAAAATGGTAACATTAACCTCTCAAAAATGTTTAGTTATTCATTCATATACATATGGAAAGAATTTAGTGTGTGAACAAAAGAAAGTGCGTAGATAAACGTGGTAAAAAAATGTTATATTTTGTCTACCTGCATCTTTTTTTTTTGCTATTCTACGATATCTCAATAGATACGAGAAGATGAGGAATAAAGGAACAGATTCTTAAATTTTTGCGTACCTGTTATTGGTATTGAAAACATTATGAGACTCAATCTTACCTTCACTTTGCACATTTTCCGATTTTTCGTCAACTGACGACGACGATGTTGTTGCTGTAACTTCTGTTGCCATTTTCTTCGTCTCCCCCAAAAAAAAAACTTTAATTTCTTCACTCACAAAAATCTTTTATTTTTGTCTTTCTTCAGTTCATAAATAAATTCAGCATGTTGCAATATGTCCACCCACAATCATGCTCATGTCACTGCTCTTCAATATTTGTTAGCGTCCCACAATCCACTTAAAATTCTAATTACAGAAACGCCAATAACAAGGCAAAATAAATCAAATGTGTATATATAAAGCTACAGACGGAAAAAAATAGAGTCCGAGCAATATGCCGAGGTCACTGTAACTGCGTTTTAATCGAACACAAAATATGTATAAACACTAGTGCGAGTTTTAAGCTATATGACGAAATAAACAAATCTCCGACAAAGAAAAAAAAAATATTTAAATCGTCTCTTTTTTTTGTTCTATTAAATTATTCTTCTTGGAACTAAGAAGCGTTTTGATAAAACCGTAAACACGAAGATGGTTAATGCACGCGGTATTTTGTCTTTAGCAAATTTAATGCGTTTCCATTCTACTCAATATCTCGACGTAAACTATTTTGTTCACTCTCTCTCAGTTTTTATTTTTGGTCGTAGAAAAAAAAAATCAAAATAGTTGAAAACAATCGTTCCTTACGCACTTATAGTAAAGCAATCGAGTAAAACATTGGATTTAAAATAGTAAAAACTATCAGTCGTTGAGTTTTGAGATATCAACAGCAAATTCGAAACAAAATAATAGTGCGGAAGCAACATTCAACAATGCGTATGAGAGAGACGCTCCGCCTCTCTATGAATGTGAAGCACAACAAGCGTGAGTTTTATGATTCAACATTCTTCTTTTTCTTCTACGCATCGATTTTATTTCTTTTTTCTTCTGATGTTCCTTTATGTTTCATTCAAGTTTCAATTCTTATTAGAAATCGCTTTTTTGGATGTGTTAATGAACTAATGAGAAGATATGAGATTTTTTAATGTATAACGATTGATATTCTCGAAAAAAAACAAAATCTGTGACGAGTTTCTCTTTTGGACTTCTTTTAATTAGTATGGATGATTCACTTTATTTTTGAGGATTGGAATTTTTTAATTGCAACGTTTTTTTTTGGAATTTTTAAATGTTTGATTTCAAAATTAAGGAAATTTTTGTTATTGATGATTGGGATGAAGGCATGAGTCATGAATGTTGTTCACACTTATTATGTGTTGAATCACAGTTGTTAGAATATATGGCAAGATCTGAATATTCCAATTTCGAAGAACTTAGCATCCTTAATAATCATTTGACTCAACTATATAAAATATGGTTTAAATCATCTCTGTTCACTGGTAGAGATTAAGTTTAGATGATCGAATCAATGTTTAATAATGGCAAATGTGTGACTTTTCATAGATATCAGAAGTTGAATTATCATTCAAAGAAGATTGTTCATAGTCTCCCAAATAGCTATGACTAATAGTTTTATAATGATGAAAAATTAAAATATCAATAAAAATATAAATAAATCTTCCGATTTCTGCATCAAAATGATAAAAACTGCATATCCACAAAAATCAACTGACCTTCCGACTAGCCTTCATCATGTAAACATTAAAACTAGAAAAATTCCATTGCTCACAAAAAATTCAAAACAGGAAGATCATCACATATTTTCACGAGTCATAAAAAGTACAAATCTATTTACTAAGTAAATTTATTCACTAGATACAAAAAAAAAAAGTTTTAAAAGTAAACTATTTGGAAGAAAATTATCAAAAAAAAGAAAGAAAAAATTTCAAATATTTTTCTCAATGAATTTCTCATATTTGCTCAGCTCATACGAAATGTTTATATATTTATACTATAACGTTGTGTTTGTTGTAATGGCTGTTTACAATATATCGGGCGCATTTTACTTTTCTCACTCTCTTTCATTCTTAAAAAAATGTTTTGAGCCACGAAATGTCTTTTTTTTTTAATTTCTTCATACCGCTCGTTGTTTACATTACGAATTCTTCATCGTAAGCCACGAGCGGTGGCCGCATTTTTTCGTCTTCAATTATTTGTAATGCAACTAGGAAATTTTTCACATTCCATTCATTACAACTAGGTGATGATAATTTGTTTTTTGTATCGTTTATTTGAGCATTTTTGTTTGTTCTTGACGGTTCGAAATGTTGGGCAAGAAAATACTCTTTTTGTGCCACACAGATCGATTAATATTTTTACTTAAAAATAGGAATTTCTCTTGCAATTTTTGTGTTACTGGAAGTGAAATTTTACAACCCTCACTTTATATTTGTTTCATCATTTGAATTCGTTGCTTTAAGATGAAGTTAAGGGTTTATTGAGGTTATGAAAAGTAGCAGCGCGCATTTGATGATAAACTGAACTTCTGATGATTGTAATTTTTCAATAAAACGCTTTGAAATTGTTGGAAATCGAACATTAAATAGGTTTTGAATAAATTGTGCTTGTTATATCCTTTAATCTTGCTTAGGGGTCGTTCACTTATGACGTGCGAAATTAACGGTCATTTTTCAAAAAAAAAACAATAGATTTCTAGAAATTTCTATTGTTCTTTTCTTGCTGATCCCCCCCCCCCCCCCCTTAGGGGTCGTTCACTTATAACGTGCGAAATTAACGGTCATTTTTCAAAAAAAAACAATAGATTTCCAGAAATTTCTATTGTTCTTTTCTTGCTGACCCCCCCCCCCCCCCCCCTCCTCTGGACGTCATAAGTGAACGGCTGCTTATTTAATAAAAAAACAGTCTTAAGTATTAATACTTACTAAAATGTCTAATTTGATCAAAAATTGAAGAGTAATTGTCTTTATTTTGTCCAAATTGTGTATCCAAAGGGTCTGAAACTACGAATTTACCATTTGCAGGCAAACTAGCTATGAATTTGCTTCAATTTTGAAATTTAAATTCATAAAATTCGTTATTTTTTTAATCTTTGAAATAAAATCTTTAAAAAACATAACCACTTCCAGCCAGCCAGTCAATCCCACACTTCTCTCAAAACATCCCTCACATGTCTCATAAATTTCTCTTAACATTCAAATTTAGAGGGGTGCTGAAAATGAGAAGAAACAATAATTTCCTTCATTTATTTTTTTTTTTTGAAATTTTTAGGGATGCATGCCAAAGCAAACTTAATGAAAATTGTACATCTGAGTGCACTCAATACACATTTTATACGTCACTAAATAGATTGAAATATTTTTTGCATGACAAAATATCAACGAATAAAATAATATTGAGGGGTGAAGGTGAAGGCACGCAGAAGGAACAGTTTTGTGCTGCACAAAAAACAGCCAATGATGATTGGTAAAAAACTGAATAAGAAGCATTTTTTATTGAAATTTTTAAAATATTATGGGAGGGTTAAAGAATTGCAGGAGATTGTTGAGATGAGAACTTTTGTGCTGTACAAAATGACGGATTAGGAATGTTTTCTTCTTATGCTTGAAATGAGAAGATTTGCGAGGAATTTACGTAGTTCCTTTTAGCTTTGTTTTGAGTTAATTATTAGTAAGTTTAGATCCTCGATTGGGAAGGTCTTTATCTACAGAACAACTACTCAGATCGAGGATAAAAAGTTTGTGTTGATGATATTTGACTAAATAGAAAAAGGAATCAAATCCGAAATCAAAATGAATTTTTTGTTTAAGTTTGTATTTTGCTAAAGTTTTAATCCAAATCTGAAAGTTCATTAACATCAACTAGTAAGATGACACGTTCATAACCGTTAGGACTCGAGTTCAAATCCCACTCATGGCAATTTAATTCTAGTCACTTTTAAACCACTTGTAATTAATTTTGAATTTTTCAAACGTTAAGGCACTAAATCTTACTATTTATAAGCATTATCCTTCAATAATTTTAAAACTTGACTTTATTAATGTTCCTGCTTATATTTTCAACCGTTACTTTTTTAATTCCCTAAACAATTCATAAAAGCATCCTCAAAAAATTTTGTGTGAATATGAAATGCATTTTAGTTTTTTTTTTGTTCCTTAAAAAATCATTTCCGATTTTAATCTCCAGTCGTTCCTCACAACATCAACAAAAATAAAAAAAAAATTAATCCTCAAGCCATCTGTCCAATATGAATGGCAGGCCGCTGCTGGTCAATTATTCTGCATTATTGCATTCTTCTAGCTGAATGTTGCATGAAATAATTGAGTATTTTTTAGTCTCGACATCCCTGATGTCCACTGTCAATCACTTCCAGTTCATTGATCATGTATAAATGCATACAAACAGTACCAATTATGTTGATGAAAGGAACTAGATTTTTTAACTATGAATTGTGTGAACTAGATGTCGATAATTGGGGGAGAATTGCATTCATGGCACGGGACATACTGCTTATATATGCAGCAAGACCAAAGGTCAATTCTTTCATATTTATAACAAAAATATTATTTTTTTAATCGAATATCAAATACACCGGAAATTGATATGAATAAGCAACAGTGAGAGGTAAGCAAACAAATAAAGAAGGTATTGTTGATATTCTGATAACAAAACAGCTGAACATTGAGGATTTCTTTTTTAGGTTACATCAATAAAAGTGATTGAATATTTTTGTCTTGTGTAAATATTTTTCTTTTGGGTCTATATGTTCGGAATATGTGAATCAAGAGTTATTTATGGTTCTTTTAAAAGTTGCTATGAATTTTAGAGGAAGGTGTGATGAAGAGCTGCAAGGGTTAGTTCAGAATAAAGTTCCTAGGACTAGTTTCTATAACTACCTTGCGTTGTTTAACTTGAAATGCAACTTTGATGTATATTTGTAACTGGAAGAAGGAATCAAGTTGATTCTAAGTTCTTCAATAAGTTCAATTTTTTGAGGAACTGACAAAAAAAAATTTATCAAAACATGATTAAATCAGTTCCGCAATCTTCGAACCTATTGTCGAGCTAAGAATTCACAGGTAGCACTTCCGTTTCCTTCTGCTTGTTCTAAATATTCAGCAAACCTTCATACCAGATGCATTATGTTACATGCTCCTGGATGTCCAAAAAAAAGTTTTAAACTTTAAAAGTATGACAATGAACCATCCGCAGATAACATCCAATAGACTAAAACTCAAACATCGTCCAAAGACACTAACGCCATCTTTGTTTCACATCTGGAAGTCTGAATTTCAAAAATATTCCGCCAAAAAACAGATGACTTTAATGCCATAGCAACGTGATGGATGTAAACAGTTTTGTTTTATTACCAATAGTAGTTCCTTTTGCTTGATATTCTTATTAATCATGGTAAATTAGCCACTTTACAGATTTGGAGATCACAAATTCTTACTTCCATTCCTTCTTTTATTTCGAAAAAGATTCTTTCAAGATCCAAAACTGATTCAGCAGGTAAAACAGCAAGTGCAAGTTCACAGAGCAACAAGAAGCGACAAATTCCTTCGTTTGAAGAATTTCTAACCAAAAGAGACTACATTGGAGCCAAGACTGTCCTGAAATACTCTAAAGACTACGACGATGAGGATGAAATTGATAAAATTCATTGGCTGGCATTTTGTGACTTTCATTTGGGCAACTATAAAGCAAGTCTCGATCAATATCAGAAACTTTATGATGACACACCAAATAAGGATGTTGCATTGAATATTGGTGTCTGTATGTTTTATCTTGGAATGTACGAAGATGCTCAGAAAATTGTTGAAGACTTGCCGGAATCGCCACTTAAAATTCGACTGCTGTTTCATTTAGCACACAAGTTGGGCGATGATGATCGATTGATGGAACTTCATGGATCTTTGAGGGATGTTATTGAAGATCAATTGTCACTAGCTGGTCTACATTATTTGCGTGGACAGTATCAGGAAGCAATTGATATTTATAAAAGGATTTTATTGGACAACAAGAACCTTTATGCTGTCAATGTTTATGTTGCTTTATGCTACTACAAGCTAGACTACTTTGGGATGTCACAAGAAGTTTTAGATCTGTACTTAGGCAACCATTCAGACAGCATAATTGCTGCAAATCTCAAAGCATGCAATCGATTCCGAATGTTTAATGGACAAGCTGCAGAACAAGACATCAAACATTTAATAGACAGTGGTGTCTTTGGAATCGATTTAATTAAGCATAACATGGTTGTTTTTAGGAACGGAGAAGGATCTTTACAGATTTTACCATCGCTTATTGACATTGTTCCTGAAGCTCGATTGAATTTAGCGATTCATCATTTGAGACGAAATGAGACACAGGAAGCTCATCAATTGATTAAGGATATGCAACCTAAAGTTCCACATGAGTATATTTTGAAAGGAGTCGTACATGCTTGCATGTTTCAGGAAACTAATTCAGTAAGTTAATTTCAACGGTATTTTTGTTTTTGAAAATCTTACAAAAAGTTAAAACAAATTCAAATTCTACAAAACCGTTAATAATTCAAATTCTACAAAACCCGTTAGAAATTCAAATTAATTTTCAATTCAATAATTTCAGAAAGAACACGCAAAACAAGCACAGCAATATCTTCATCTTGTAGGAGCATCAGCTACAGAATGCGATACAATTCCAGGTCGACAAGCTATGGCATCATCGTTCTTTTTGTATGGACAATTTGAAGAAGTTCTTGTCTATTTGAATTCTATAAGAAGCTTCTTTGTCAACGACGATACTTTTAATTACAATTATGCTCAGGCAAAAGCTGCAACTGGTTACTATAAAGAAGCTGAAGAATTGCTGATGCAAATTCACAATATCCAAATCAGAAGTGACCACACATTTTCAATGTTGTTGGCGCGCTGTAATATTCATTGTGGACATGCTGATCAGGCTTGGAATATTTTCGTCACTAAAGACACAACACCTGAAGCATTTTCCTTATTACAATTAATTGCTAATGATTGCTATCGAGTTGGTGAATTTTGGATAGCTGCAAAGGCTTTTGACATGCTGGAAAAAATGGATCCATCGCCAGAGTATTGGGAAGGTATGAAAATGTCTTGAATAATAGTTATTTAAAGCTTTATGATTTATATTCTTCAGGTAAAAGAGGTGCATGTGCAGGCGCTCTGTATAATCTAATCACAAAAAAGAAGAATGGACTACCTCAAAATGGAATCGGGGAAATTATTTCACTTCTTCGTGATTCATCAAATTCACAAGCGGAAGCAATGTTGAGAGCATTTAGAAGATATGCAAGCACTTTGAAATAATTACATTTTCATGCAATAAATCGGAAATAAATTTGAAGTTTAACGGAAAATTTGTGTTTGAATTTTCAAAACCTTTCAATTTCTACAAGTTGTAGCTGTTGTAATGTTTTGCAACACACGTTATGTGTTTGAAAATTTGTAATTTTTCTGTCTGTTGTATGGTTTAGTAAAGAATTTGTGGGGTGCTGAAAAATTAAAACATTTAAAACCAAATTTATCGTTAATTTTGAAGCTCAAATTATTTTATGTCTGTATGATTCAAAGCATAAATTTTTTTTATGCTATTTTACAGCAACAACAAAATAGTCGATTTTATTAAATTAATTTCAACATTTCATCAACAGAAACAATTTTTTCTCTAGGCTTGTCAAGTTTCTTACCACACTCAACTTCCTTTTCATCAATCTTCTTCCAGTCATCCCAAGTAACTGCTCTAAACTTAGAATAATCAAATCCAGGTTTTTTCTCATCACAATTCAGTTCTCCATTCTTAATATCGTCTATGATTGTCTGTGATATTTGGAAAGCATTGTTCATGGTCGTTAAAATAACTCCAGAAGGCCCAGTTCCAAGCCATCCAGCTACGTACAATCCTTTATCAATCTCTGTTGAATCTTTCATTAATACCCGTCCATGCTTATTAACAACACGTCCATTTTTATCGTCAAAATTAATCGATGGATCCACACTTGTGGCTTTATATCCAATACTTCTACAAACTAATTGACCCGTAATTTTTTCTACGTCATTTGTGGCTATAGCTCTGTCATTTTTGAGTACGGTATGAGAAAAGTCAATTGATTCTACTTGAGAATCGCCGTTAATTTGAATTGGGGACCGGAAAAATATTGGAAGGAACTGCTTATCATCAGACGAAGCCTTAGGAGCTTCCTGAAGACTTTTAAGCATTAATTCAGTAATTCTCTTCTTTGGTCTTGGAAGTGAAGTGACAGTATCTGATGTGATTCCTTCAAAATCAGCACTTCTCCAAATTGTCTGTACATTTGGAATTTTAAGCATTTCACGTAGTTCAGCTATTGTAAAAGCAGCTTGTAATGGACCACGTCTACCTACCATATAAACTTTTTTTACTTTACTTCTTGATAATGCCTCAATTGAATATTCCGTTATGTCTGTTTTCTTAAGTATGTCAACAGGTGTCAAAAGAATTCTGTTAAGGAACCGACAATGCTTAATGTTGCTTGATTGATTATTTGAGTATAATTACCTAGCTACATCGATTGCCACATTTCCATTGCCTATTAATATAACTTCCTCGCCTGACAAGTCAGGGTTTAGTTCCTCTAATCCAGGCGTTCCATTGTACCAGCCAACAAACTCACGAGCTGACATAAAATTCTTCTTATCCTCGCCAGAAATGTTCAGCAAAGTGTCAATTTCTGATCCATAAGATAATACAACAATGTTGTAAGCCTTCCTTAATTCATCCAGTGTCACTTCTTTGCCCAAACTTACATTTCCATAATATTTAAAGTTCGGATGTTGTGCTGTTTTATTGAATGTGTTAATGACATTTTTAACTTCTGGATGGTCAGGGGCAACTCCATAACGAACGAGGCCAAAAGGAACTGGCAGTTTCTCAATCACACTGGATGTAAATTAGATATTGTCATTCAGAATTTCATAAATATTAAGTTTTCTTACTCAATTTGTGTATTTGGAAGATGTTTTAAGAGGTATTGGCTTGAATAGAATCCAGCAGCACCACCACCAACTATACAGACTTTAATTTCATTGTTGAGTGTGGAAAAATACTTAAATTTACTAAAATTACTTGAAATTAATGTTTTTAAAATTGAACTTCTGACTGTGAACATTTTTTTGAATGTTTTGTTTATGTCTACAAAGCTGGTATTAAAGGCATTAGGAAAATTAATAATATAAAGCGCATGATATAATTAAAATAAAAAAATAACGGGTTTTAAGATTTGAATATGAAAACCTTACAAATGTTTCAAATTTTCTTAAGAACCGTACAAATTTAAAACATTTGTAAGGTTTTCATTCAAATTGGCAGTTTGAAATTAAATCTTTTTTGGTCATTTTTATGACTTGCTTGCACTCAGAAAAAAAAACAGCTAACAATCTCTCCAAAGAATCAGAGTGTGAAAATCAATGCTAGACTCAAGAGATCCAGTGAAGCATAAAATAAAGTATCAACCAACAACTGAAAGAGGAAGTAATTAAAGCAATTAAATGTCTTCTTACAATCTAACATTACGTGAGTAGATCGTTTATGGATCGTGTTTAATGCACTTTAAAATGACATTCAATGATATATACACAAAAAATAATTAATCTAAGTCGTTTTTAGATAATAATGCTCTTAAAAATTGTCCTGAACAGTACGTGACGTTAATTGAAGTTAATTGCAGAAGTTGTAGACTTCTTAAGTCAATAAAAATTGTGATTTAATGCTTAAAGCTTAAAGATCCTTTCAGTTGGCTCTAGAATTGCTGTCATCTAGTTCATAGCGAGATACTGTCGATTTCGAGTCCTTAGATGCTGACCATCTATTTTTAAACAAGTCAGACACACCAAATACGATTAATACGCCAATTATTACACCTTGTAAAGTTCCAGCAAGTACGTCAGACCAATGATGTTTGTAGTTCGAAATACGTGATAAAGCTGTATACCATGCCATCGATAGGAATACAAATTGAAGAAAGTGCTTTGCTAATTTTGATCCTTTCCATGTCATACGAACGTGCAGGAAGAGAGCAGTAAAGAGCATCGTGTACATTGAGAATGACGAGTGTCCAGACATGAATGACAGCCTTACTTCCTTTAATTTTCTTGCAGATGCTTTAGGATTTGAACATGTAAATTCGGTAATGTATGTAAAAAAGTTTTTCGGGTCAGTACAGTTAATCGGTGTTCCATCAAGGAATGCAGGCTTGCAGACATCAAAAAAGTGTGGACGAAGTCGTCCGATTGTATATTTTGCAATATCTGTGGTCATTTGACTGCAAGCAGCACCGAAGAGGAATATTCCAATATATTTATAACAATGTTGGAACCAAATTGGAATTGGATGTCCGAAAATCTTTAAATCACGTTCAGCTTCCATTCCTAGTTTCCACCTTATGAACTCAGTGATAATAATCTAGAAATTTAAACTTTTATGATGAGAACATTTGCATAATTAATTGCCTATAGATCTTACAGAAATGATTGGAATGCCAAAACCGAGAGTGTACAGCACCTCATGTGTAACTGTCGATTCTTTAAATGGATACATTAGAGATTCGTCATTGCAGTTAAATCCTCGCTCATAAGGCACACCGAAAAGGAAGAACATGAGGATTGGAATTCCAACTAAGAAGAGAGAATAAAGTTATAATTTGACTGATTTTGAAAGTTCAAATGTTAACGGTTTTAGCTGAAATCTTGTATTAGGAAATAAATGGCATTTGCGCAAAAAAGATTATTTAATCTTGAGAAAAATATGCATCAAGTATATCGAAATGATTCATTAATTGAACAATGATCTATTAATATACGGTGAGATATTTAGCAGATCTTATATTGTTGCAATACTCACCACATCCCAATAATACAACGTCTAAAGCGACTTTCGTCAATACTCGTTTCGTTTCAGCATCCATGGCTATTTTTCCGTTCGGAATCTGTTCTTGTGTATTATTTAATGGGATTGATTCGTTTGCTTCGAGGTTTGCTACTCGACTTCCTCGATTTGTCATCTGCAAAAATGGATTGAATAATTTAGATTTATGAGGTCGTTGTGATAAGATAAAGCAGATTTCTCTTATGACATGCATATTGATAAGATAAGGGCATAGTAATTAATTCAAAACAATGTAGTAGAAACTCCAATCGTGTCTAATTCAATGAAATTACAAATATGGGGAGAAAATCACATTGGATGTCGTAATCGACAGTTAAATGATGCATGAGGCAGGCAACAAGTTATATTATCACATTTAAAAGTACTTTTATGTTAGGTATAAGTAATCTGATGATGTTAAATGTCATAAGATAGTCATAGAAGCAAGTTAAGACAGTCGCGTCACACTTGATGAGTCACATTTGAAAGCAATGACGTAATGGCTAAATATAAACATTCGCGAGAAGATTGTCAAAAAATCTGTGCCTATAGCTACAAATGTTTGTTCTTCAGATATCAAAATTATCTTAATTCAAGGTCAGTGCCACTGAAACTTAATTTTATGACTGGATCTTTTAAAAATTATAATAAATTAATATTAGTAACACGTACATAATTAGTAATGCAAGCAAAATCAGGCGGATATGTTAAAAACAAACATAAAGTCTTTAAAAGTTCAGAAAATTCATGCAAAAGCAGGCAAATTCCAAAAATTATCACTTTTTTCACTGTTCTTGAATACTTTTTGTTAATTTACGAATAGTTTCACTTCTTTACCACAGTTAAATAATCTTTATTGCTCTTAAATCTTGGTATTTTACCTAAAATATCTAATAAAATCAAACACAAGCTCACTGAATAGCACAGAAAAGCTGAATGATTTCATATCCCACAAATTCTCTCCAAAAACATCCAGTGCTAATGTTTTCATTGTTTTGCCGCTTATAAACAAAACATTGAGTAAACATCACGTGAAGAAGATACAATTATATCTGTACACAAATAAGTTCATTCATAAATCCTTAGACATGATTCATACTAAATTGTTAATGCTTTGAATGAGGTTGATATTTCGTGTTGGAATGCTTATTTAGATAAAGAATATATTGTACACGATAACAAAGTTATGCACGAAAGCGACGAAAATAAGCTTTAGATGAAAGATTGGCTGTGGGTGTGTCATAAATTAATAAATTTAATTTTTGTAGATTTCTCTTTTGAACGGTAAATTATTTTTTGAATTTAAAGGTTTCGTTCAGTTTTTAACAGAAACTTTACCTTATTTGAAATTATTTTGACAGTTAAAACTCAAAACTATTTTGATCGTTAAAATTTTGTGAGTTAAAAATTGAACCTTCTTTCTATTTTACTTTAATTCCAAAAAAAATACTCCAAAAATCTTCAGATCTGCATTTTTAAATTATTGTGTACCAGATTATCAAAAATAAAGCTTAAAACTTTCAAAACAGCTTTCAGCTTAAAAAGCTATCTTTAAGTACGAAAGCTTTTAACAAATGAATGAGCACCAAAAATATATTTTTTTAACATCATAGCTTACATATCTTATTTGCAATGCTGATACACGTTATCGTCAGTTTTGTTTCTTTTTCTCTCACGCGCAATCTCAAATATTTTCACTTTCATCTTTTTTTCACTTTATTAAGTTAAATAAAAAAAAAAACGATTAAAATTTTCTTGCCTTTTGTTTAATTTACAAAAATCATTGAAATGTAAAATTTTTCATTGAGTTTATGTTAGCTAAACAATGTAACTTGGAATGGATTATGTGTAATTCCGATTTTTTTTTTTGCTGAATATTGAAGAAAATAATTGAATAAAAATCACGATAAAGTTAAAAGCAGTATGTAAGTGCTTGGAACTCATGACAATCGAAAAGTAACCAGCAGCACCTGACACCTTTCACCTCTTCATATCATAATAAAAATCAGCATCCAATCCTCTTAATATCACTTAATCCCCATATTAATTCACAATCCAATAGAAATACCAAAAAATACAGTAAATCACACAGCAAGATCCAAACAAACAACACCAAAAAAAATGAAAGCTCACACATTCAAATCGTCTCAAGAGCAACAGACACAAATTACAGTGATTATGCTGTAATAGCCTCTATTAGATAAACTCACTGTTTGCCTAGCCAATCAATAGAATCTTATTAGCACTCAATTTAAATATGGAGTATTAGACATGCTGTTTAATTCAATTTTTCTAGCTGGCTACAATCATTGATAATAAAGAGAGAAGGAGCAGAGTTCTTGATTTGAAATTTTAGCTCAAATTTTTTCTGTAATGGAAATTTAGCAATTATTTCAAGCAATACAAAATTTTTAAGACTCAGTCCAATATTAGAACTGGGGACCCACCTTGCTATTTTTACTTACAGCTACAACATCTACTAATTGCCGATTAAGATGAAAGTGAATGCTGTTTTTGTTTCTATTCAGCACACTTCTAGTGAATCGTAACTGTTTAATCTACACCTATTATGGAATCAAGTCAGTAGGGAATAAAACATAAAGAATGCTCTTTTTATGCTCTCTGAGAAAGTTTTGCAGCTCCATTAAGAATTATTTTAATGCTATTGGAAACTATTCGTTCGTAAATGACGTCCATCAAATGTTTATAGCTGTAAGACTGACTCTCAGTCAATAATTCGAATTAAATCACACAGCAAATTTGGACATCATTTATGAACGAAACCTTACAGATTTCTCTTCAGCATTGCATAATTCATTTAAAAGCTAGAGTAAATAGCTGTGGATATGTGTGAAAATTTACAGAATAAGAATGGCTGTGTTTATTCTATTTGATACCGTTATAATGACAAATGATGTCTTTAGTATTTAAATACAAGTGATTTGCTAGTTTTTATCTATAGATGAATGAGATACATATGTCAATCATATGTAAAGATAATGATGATAGTCTGATAACCTTAAAAACCGGCCTTAGGTTTTAAGATTGCCAAGCTTTTCAATCATCATTTAATTCGAAACTTCAATATCAAAAAAATCAGCATAACTTGTATTTAAACATAAAGTTATCGTGAATGCCAACATCTGCGAATTTTTAAGTAGCTACAAAGTCTTTTTGAATGACTCAACATCTCTGATGACCCAAAATGAAATCAATTTGGGCAGGATTTTAATTTTTTTACTTCCTTACCAGATTTAAAGTAATAAAGTACATTATGGATATTATCACCTTATTTTACACATCGCAAATTATTTCTGTAATTTGCAAATCAATAAACCACTCCTTTATCTTCTGATATTAATTGAACTTTCGCTGTTTTTTCAATATCCATAAAATTACAATAAAGCTCATAAAACAATGACTTAAAAAAAATTCATACGAGTAGTGAAAATCGCCATTAAGGGGGCTTAGCTAGCGCGGAAAAAAACAGTAATAAATATATTTATAAGATAATTAATGAGAAATCAAATTATTGGATAGACTAAAGTAATGATATAAATTAATCAGGTGAATCAAATTGAACATTCGAATATTTTTCGACTCTGCACGACATTTTGGTAAAATAGATGAAAGTAAAAATTGTAAATCTGTGACTGAGATACACGCAATAACTGAATCAAACATAACGCAGACGTGAAAAGTAAAAGGGAATTAAGACATGAATATTTTCCATATTTGTCGCATAACTATTTAGATGCCTTAATGTCTCTTAAATTTTATAATAATGTTCACACTTCCATTGAGATAATTTTGCCAGATTTTTGAACTGCATAGCAAGGTTGAAAATATTTCTTTGAGCATCGTAAAAGTTAAACGATGATTGCCTTGCTGATAAGTAAATGATCATCAAATGCACACAAAAAATTGTTGAATAAACATTTGCGTGCTATTTTTGTTCAGCTTGAGTTATCGATTTGCATTTTTAATTTTTTGTCACTGCTTAAAAATAAAATTGATTAAGTTTTGAATTGAAATCCTCGAATTTTAATAAAGCAATATTTTGTAAGCAGCGTCTAAAGGAGTCAATATTTCTTTTTTGAATGTTGAGAAATGTCAAACAATTGGTTAATTTTATCTTGAGTCGGTCGAACTTGTTAAAACTTACTAAGGATTCCTCTTACTTGATCTAAAATGGTTCAAACTTATTTAATTTCAAGAAAACCTTTTCTTAATTAATGCATCCAAAAGAAGGTTTGAAACTCTTAAAATTCTGATTGTTTTAAAACTTTAAATATTAAGAACAGCTTCTTAATCCAAGATCGAACAGCTTTGAAGGTGCTAGTTTCAATTATCATGTAAAAGCAGCAATGCTTGACAACTCTGTGTTGAATCATAATTCAATAAAACTTTATGATCTTCATTTCAAAGCTGTAAACAGAAATGTTATCATGAAAATGCGCCAGCTGAGTCATTTAATCACTTGAGATGTTGTTAACAACGTTGTCATGACACTTTCACACTATTAAACCAACGGTAAGTGACAAATTTAACTTGAAACTTCTCATTTCAATTTTTGAGCAAGATTTAAGATGTCATGTCCAATTCTCACGTTCTTTTTATTGCTGAAATTATGAGAAATGCTACAAATGATGATGCAAATGTCTGAACTTTAAAGTTGTTTGAGAAGACTGTATTTTATCACTAATTTAATCAATTGTACAATTTCAACTGAGAAATTATTCAATTTGACAAGATTTCAATGATTACTGCGATGATTTTTCATATGATAGTAAGAAATGTTAATTATCTATTCAGCATGATAATTAATTGCTGCAAACGAGCTTCAACGGTAGACTTGTGTCGCGAAATAACAAATAAATCAAACTGAAGACCAAGTAAAGCTTAGAAAACAAATTGAAACAAAACTCAAGCGACAATTGTCAAATAAGAAGTCAAAATTCTAAGTTCTCAAAATAATAATTTATTTAACATTATCCAACAGCATTTATTAACAATATTAAGTTCCAGAACTATCAATCTACAAATAAATAAATAAATACCTATCCTAAGCATCTTTACACCTATTATACACCTATTACTTCCAATTTCTACACTTATAATTATTATCTTTGAATTAAAACATTTTAAATTTTCTATTGAGCATGAATAAGCAGTAAGTTTTGGAAATTATACACGATAGCATTTCTCGCTTCTTTTTTTTTCAGTAAATTAATTTCCAGCCAAATAGAAAGTGAATGTGTTTTTTCTTAATATTTTTACAATGGATGTGGATATACCATAAAGTGATTTGTAGCACTTGAAACATAAATAACAATAATAGATTTAAAGATGAATAGAAGCCTCTCATCACATGCGTGAGATTAGCTAAATGGCCTAAGGAGATTTAAGTACGGTTGATGATTTGTTGATTTCCTTTTAAACCTTAACACATTCGGTAATGCTGTCGCTGGAACTGCTCGTTTACTTTCCGATATTTGAGCTAATGCGTTTGTTAAAATTTTCTCCATTTCCAAAGGGCTGTAACTGGACTGAGGCTTAAAATCTTGTAAATTAATCATTCTGACATCTAAGGCTGACGACGGTGTTGTTGTTATTTCGAATGTAGGAACCGGAGCTACTATATCATTACTTAAAAATCTCGTATCATGAAATTTTGAGAAAAGCTGATTGAGAGGTTGATTAAATGAGTTTGATGTCGGTTGCTGCTGTTGAACCTGTTGTGGTGATTGCATATGAACACCACTGAATGGATTGTTATAATTTTGTGGTCGATAGTTTGTAGGCGTTTGTTGTGGTTGCTGTAAACTACTAAGTGCTGACGGATTATTGATGAATTGGTGGTTATAATTTGGTGATGTTTGTTTTTGGAAAGCTGGATTATTTGATTGAGGAACAAGTCCGGTAGGATAAGGATAGTCAGATTCTGACTCTTCATTTAAGTATCTTCCAAACGGTGATCTGTCATCAATTCTGCTATTAGCATATGATGGTGAATAACTTCCCAGATTTGAACCATATGATCCATACGATCCATATGGTGGATGTGAAGGATACACAGGAGGTTGCTGATTAAAATGCGAATGATAATGTGTCTGAGAAGCTCCATGCCCAATTTTCTTTGCATAAATCAACTTCCCAACAATTACAGCTAAATTGAGTGCTACTAAGCTGCTAATCAGGAATAAATTGACAATTCCAATTGCTTTGATGCTGAAAATAACAGCTGTTAAAAATCCACCGATGAATGCCACGGGCAGTAAGATATTCTTCATCATACGAATCCGTCCGAAGGTGCGACCTTAAATTAGATACAAATTTGAATTAGTCTTAAGTCTTTCGTCTGCTGTGCAATAGATTTTGAATTTCAAATTATATGCATGCCACTGACGGTCATGAATCTATGATGATAATGGCAATTAAGGGTATTATGAAACACCTTTCATCTTGTAATATTTAAATTTTGGGTATAAATATCCATAATGTATTTATTAGAAATTTATAGTCTACGAAGGTGATAATGTCATGAAATTTTCAGTATCATTGATCAAACTATGATAATTTATTACATAAATGAATGGAACTTGGACTTGGATCACTAGAGTGTCTAAATTTGATTTCCTCATACAAATGAAAAACCTGAAATTACAGTCAAGGTCTTATTAGCCTGAGAAAGATATGCAAATCACCAGGTCTTCATAGATCGTTATGAGGCGCTTCATAAAAGTAAGGAACCTTTAATTTTTAGTCAGCTCAAAGGAGTTAAAAGCATATGGAATCGATGCCTCCTATAAATTGAGCATACGAATATCAAAACATCAGTAATATTGAATTTAATAAATTAATGTCTTTCTATGATTGATAAACTTTTATTAATGACCTTTATTGACAATTCCAAATGCCTATAAAGATGCCACACACTGCATACTGCATCAAACTTTTTTGAATAATTTAAATGTCTCATTCTTCTCTTTCTATTGCCAACCTAATCATTTATTCATCAAAGAGACTGTACGCTTAATAGCTGAATATTTTTCGTTTAATTTTCAAGTTTCGCCCTAATTCATTGAGGCATATTTTATCACTTAAAAAACAAAAAAAGAAATTCGAGAAATTTACGACAGCAAACATAAGAAAAAGAAGTGAGAAACATAAGAGGGGACATTCACTTATGATGTCTTTGCTTTTTGTGGGAAGCTAGAAGATCTGAGCTTTTGTGAGATCTCGGAGATCTCTATGTAAAAGAGACTATTTTTCTCTAATAGACGTAACAAGTGAACAATCCCCAAAATAAATGTTGTGATTATGCTATAGATGCTTGTTCCAATGTCAGTCATATGTCTTACTCAACTCGAGCAGCATCAAGGCCTCATAGAAAAGACCAAAAGCTGACAGTAAAAAGAAGAAGTTGAAGTTGCTTTTTTTCCTGTTTTTGGAACCAATTTTGGTGGTAATGTCATTGAAACATTTTTTATATCATAATTTGTGTCGTTTTGGGCAAGTCAATGCAACTTGAACTTGTTAGAAACAAAAATCAAATTGTTCAACATTGAAAGTCTTTTATGCATGACATCATGGTATGTAGTGGGGATATTAATGAACCAGATCAAAAAAAAATAAGTTTACACATGTATGTAATTTCGCCGACCTTACCATTTCCAATTCCACTTTCTCCCAAATTCCAATCGAAAATCAAACTCCTGAATAGTTTTCGTATTTCTGTAAGCTTCTCGGATATACCTTTATTTCCATCATATCTTCGTATCACACTCAAATCTGTGCTGGTATTTTTTGGCGATAAATGACTAATAACTTCCGTCGCATCAACTAATTGACTCTGACATTGTCCCAATGTGATGAAAAGAATGACTAGTGCTACGTAAAATGCCACTTTGTGCTTATTACTATTATCATTTAGCGTAAACATTATGTCTGAAATGAAAGAAGAAGATGTGAAAATTAAGAGACGCATAGCTGTTAATTGTTGAACGTTTAAATGTTTTATAGACATTGACACACACACAAAGTCATTTCTTTTCTGCTTAAATTTAATCATCGACAGCAGCATCTATCATTATTCATTTCTATCACACCATTTTCTCGTCTTTATTGTGGAACTGCAGCAAGTAAGTGAGCGAAACACGTGGGTAAATAATAAAAGAGTGAAGTAAATTGGAGATTGCTGGCTATTATAATGATGGAGATGAGTTTCAGGGATTAAAGCGCAGTTTATAACTTGATTTATGGCACCTCCAGTCACAAATCGATTTTAAGCTACCAAAATTTCCAATTTAACAGCAATTTTCAATTAAAAAACAGAAGCTATAAAAACTTAAGCCTTAAATCACTCTTAAGCAGCATCAATCACTCAATAAAATATCCAAAATGCAGCCATAAATCCCTCGATTCACGGAAATAACCTAAGCTACTCCTGAATTTACCTGTATATGCATGTAATTTAATAAAGCATAAAGCTTCTCATGCTCAACGCCTTAATAATTCTCAAATTAATCGATAAAAGCATGTTAAACACAGTGACTTAATGCACTTTGTTGTCTAATTAGTCAGCGTACCGTGCATATCTAATGCTTCCCAAGTGGATATAACAAACGCCTTCAAGAAGTTCAAGTTCAAAAGCAGTAGCCGAAAGCTCTTTGTTAGCAAGTCATGCGCAAAAATTATGGATTTCACTTTATTTAATTCGAATGCAATTGTGAGAAATGTTAAGATGAATATTTATTGGAGATGCATGCATTCATTCGGAGAAATGGATGAGTTAAAAAAGAAATTTCGAACAAGTGTAGATGTACGGATGGATAAGTATTATTACTGGTGAAAACAATGCTTTTCTGACATATCATGCGAGTGATATTATAATAAACATGTAAACGTAAATAAGCGGCGCTTTGCTGACCATAATGTGAGGAAGCACACGCGACAATAGAAGACATCATTTGTTTGTGTCTATAAATACCAAATTAGAGCGTCTAATTTTGAAGAAGACAATGAATCGCTCTAAAAACCACAATCCACACCTGAAGCATTCATGCGAAAAATCTCTTTTCACTGGAAGCGATATTTTTATGAATTTTGGTCTATTCATGGCCATTTCACTTTAAAAATTTACTTTTATTATCGTTCATGCATGTCTGATTGATTGCGAAACGTAAATATGAAACTTTTTTTTTCTGCTATGCAAATATTAATTGTATTTTTAGAGCAGCAGTTTCATTTCCGTAGACTTCCCACCTTCGAACATGGCAAGTGCTGCTTACAACTAGAATTATGTTGCATGTGATGTGTACACGCACACTTAATTAGCATTATTTTTGCTGCCATAACTAGATTAAGGCAAATAAAACATGAAAATTGTCATTTATGGTGTGACTTAATAAAATTAAACAATAGCTGAAGCTATTCGAATTCTGTCGGTCGTGAGAAGCCAATAAAATTTATTTATCACAATTCTTTTAATGAATCTTCTGACTAGTGCCCAATCTCCTAATAAAAATGAAAGCATTTCTAGCCAATTAATTTGGAAGTGATCTCGTTTTGTAAACTACATGCTGTTTGGTAATGAACGTCATTACTGGCATTAACTCACGAGTCATAGAAGCTTTTCAAAATCAATTATTGATCATAAAATTTTTGACATGTCAATAATGAAAGTTTTTGTAAGTACATTAAGCGTTATACGTTTAATCATGTTCATTAAGCTGTATTTTGTTATGTTTACTTGATTATTAAGGTATTTGGATTTTGATATTTGAATGGTATTGGATTTTTATGATTCGTATGTGGAATTCTGTTTATGGAATTTCGAATGTAATGTTGTTTTGTTAATAACTTTTAAGTACTAGTCTCACACCTATTTCGGTTCAACCCTAGCTCTTGTGTTTCAATAGTTGAACACTTCCCATGTTTACCTTGAATATTGATTGGATTTATTGAAAATCTGGAAGTGCTTTGAACATTATATGAGGTTGAAGGGAAGTTATTGGAATGGTTGAAATTCAGAAAGATTAAGTTTAAATCTGTTTGAAGCTTTAAGGATGGTGAACTAAGGATTAGTTGTTGTCAATTTTTAAAAGCTTTGGCCAGCTTTAATTTTTCAAATCTTCAAAACCTGTCCTAATAAGATAGAGTCACTTGATTTGAATTGATCTAAACTGTGCCATGACTTCAACTCCATAAGACTCAACATGACCAGAAAATTACACAAAACAATTGGAATGTCGTGCATTATAAACTATCAAAAATTAAGAAAATCGTCACTGACATCGAAATAATTTTTGTGCGTAATACACACAGACACAGCGCAATTAGAACAATAAATATGATTAACGACTCAACATTATTCTGAATGAATACAATAAAAATCAAGTTTAATTGAGTTCAAGTTAATTCCCATCAAAGTAATTTAATTTTAACGTGAAAACATTATTACAGGCAAACTATTAACACCATGAACTTTACTGAAGGTTGACAAAACTTAATTAAATCCAGTGTTGGTTCCGTTATTTGTGCGATTTCTTTGGGTTTGCTGTGATTGTGAATATTTTTTGTCGAAAGATCCGGAAGATTATCAAACTTAACAACTTTACATCCTTTATTGATCATTTGTTGTGTTTTTATTGCATGTGTTTAAAATTGATTTAATTTTGATCATCTTCGAAAGTTTAAGTTTCGTAACTTAATGTGTTGTTTTGGTTGATTTTTTAAACTTTAAACTATTAACAATGACTTAAAGATTTTGAATTTTAAAGAAAAAACTCAAAAGTTTAACTGAAAATCATTATGAATAATTAATAGAAGCTAGATTTTTTAATATACTCTTTTCCCCGATAGCTAAAGGTTTTCGGAAGCACTTAATTCCATAAGTTTAAAAAAACGAAATTCATTTTTTCCAAAAAATCACAACTCTCAATTTTACTCAAAGCTGTCCAAATTTTAATAATTACACAAACAACAACAAGCAACACTGCACTTAACATATTCTTTCTCATTATCATTCCAAAATTCATCATGTACAACGATTATTTCATTAAGAAACACTTTTGTAAACAACCAAGATCAAATCAACTTAACCGAGACTACAAAATATCCAAACTTGAACTTTGTGACTTAATGTAATAAACCGGACTCGGCTTTCTTGACAGGTCTCGTTGACAATTTTAAATTAATTAAATTTTTATTGAAGAAGCTACAAGCTCTTGTAGTTTGTCATGATTTACTTTTGCATCAATTTCCACACATCATTAAAAATGCTGAGCCTCAAAATGCATAACTGAAGAATTATATTTTTTTTTTGTCAGTCTGATTCCTTCCAGAAGGTAATAATGGAGCGTTTAAAAAAGAAAACAAGCATGATGATGTGATATTATTGCATTCCTTACAAGCCTCATCACACAGCCAAAAAGAAGCAAAATTCCAAGAAATTTCATGAATGATTTTTTTTTTTATTTTTGGATCTTTCGAGTTCCTTTTTGTTCTACTTACATTTGTTTAGTGATGTATTTTTTATATGCCTTAATGTCTGATTTTTGATAATATTTTAAAGAATTATTTACAGTATTTTTTTTTTCCTTTGGTATTTAAGTGAAAAGTTTTAAGGCAGAAAAAAAGTGTTTATTTTTGTGATTTCAAGTTCTGCAACTTTATTCTTATTCTTCTTTTTATTTCGTCTTTCTCTTCTTCTCGATTTCTTCTTGCGTTCTTTTCTACATCGACACACAAATAATTTTTTTCTTGAATTCCTATCTCGATCCAACGATATTCAAGCACAAAATACAACATCGCAAAATCATTTCGGTTGAGTCCTCAATAATTGCATTTTTTTGACTCATTCAGCACTTCCGAAATCTTCAACGGCACTTGTCTATAAACTTATCATCCGATCCCGGTAAACAATGAACATAAACTGAACAATTTTAATAAAGAAATTTTTCCAAATTGTTAAAAATCTCTCTCGTCTGCAAGTAAAACATCAGCTGTGTGGCTTTTGCGGTCTTTAATGATATCAATTCACTAACCAACTGAGAAAATATAAAAAGAAATGGAAAGAAATTACACATAAAGAAAAGTTGGGTGGAAGAAAGAAGTTCGAACGAGATCGTGCAAACTGAATAAGTTTGTAAAGCAACAACGACGACTGACGACGACGAGAGAAAGATGGAAAGGAGAGAGAGGAAAGTAGTGAGAGTTTACGGGCTGTTAAACATTTACTTTTACCCTGTTACCCACATTGATTTGCTCACATTGATAACACGCATAAATTGTAAGAGCAAGTGTATGGATGGATATGGATGATGATGTCAGATGATGTAAGTAATCCACACATTTGTCGACATGTTTTTTGTTTGCTCTCTTTTGATTCCAAGCTTGTTCCAAGCTTGTTGATATGTTTGGAAGGAAATTATGAGAACTATGGTCGTGGATATGAGTTAAGTAGCTAGTTCTTTTGTTTGAGCTTTGATATTCTCATTATTGATGCTTTATAGTCTGAAAGGGTGTTAATTGGATTTCCTTATTGACCTCCTTATGATTAAGTTGTCACCTATAACATTCTGATTCCCTTCTTTACCTCAACGAAATGAAAGCTTTGAGTCCTAGATTTTAAAACATGCTAAAAACCTTTTCGGATGCAAAAAGAAATTTGCGGAAGTTGTTAACAAAAATCTGATAACGCTTGACTTATTGTCATGTCCCGCTTAATCCAAGCAAATTTACACAAAATATCCCAGATTAAAAATACTATAGACACCCTATTGTTAAGAAAATAAGCAATTACTAGCACTAAGAAAAGAGAAGACACAGTCACGACAACGCTAATGAACTAGCATAAAAAGTCTATGAAAGCAAGTCAATCCAAAACATTTTCTTTTGAACTGATAAGTACATTGCCAAAAATAAATGTTTTACTTCCGGGAAGAGAAATGCGAAAATTTGCATATTAATGGACTAAAGCACTTATGTTTTATATGTTGGTATGGTCTTGTACATTTCACTGATGTGAA